ATAAGAAGATAAGAAAAAAGCAAATAAATAAATGAACAAAGCAAATAAGAAAGAAAAAAAAAAGAACATAAGAAAGAAAAATGAAAGAAACAAGAAATTAAGAGAGGGCTAAAGAAAACAGGAACAATAAAGAACAATATCAGAGAACAGAATAAAAAAGAGAAAGAAAGAAGCAAACAAAGAAACAGGAAAGAAAAAGGTACAACAAAGAGAGGAAAGAGGAAAGAAAAAACAGACGCCAAAGCAGGAAGAGGAACATATTAAAAAGATGAAAACAAGTAGGAAGAGATGCTATAGACGGTAAAGGAAGGAACAAAGGAAAAAGAAAGAAAGAAAGAAAGAAAGAAAGAAAGAACAAAGAAATGAAGAGAGACAGAGGAAGAGAAAAGAAACATGAAAAAGGAAACTATTAGATAATAAAAGAAAGAAGCAGAGGAAGAAAGAAAGCAACAAATATGCAAACAAGAAGGAAATGAATAAACGAGCAGTAAACAAAACAAGAAAATACGGGTGCAAGAGAGCATTCAAGGAGGAGGAAGTGACAGAAAGAAAAGAAATCAAGAACAAAGAACTCAAGGAAGGGGGGGGGGAGAGTATAAAAACAAAACTGAAGAAAATTCAAGAACACTGAATTTCAATTTTGATATTACAATTTCATGATCCAGCTTATACACGTATTGAATATAACATGGCTTGAATATTCTAGCTTCTGTATACTCATGTTTTCCTGCATTTCCCGTTGCTGTGGGTCAGCATGTTCGGGTTGAAGCTCTGGAAACAGGTGTTAATGTGCCCCTTCTCAGTAGCATATCAAGCTTTGTCACTGATCAAGTCAACAAACAAGATTATTGAATAACACAGTAATGTTTACACACACCTACTATACATGCGTGAAACTGCATACAGCTTGAACTGTGAACAGAAATACGTTAATAACTGAAATATACAATTAATATCTGTGGCACCTCAGAGACCATATATCAAGCAAAATTAAAATTGAGATATAATTTGACCCTTTACAAGCAGATTATTAAAACAAGTATTACATCTCTGCTGCAATTTTGAGAACTCAGTCTCTTATTACGCAGAATTTTAGATGTAAAAAACAACATTAACCTATGCATTCTGTGCTGTGGTTCCTCTGAGGTTGTTTTAAGTGCGGAGGTCAGATACTGCAGGGTCACTGGGAGTCAAAGATACTGAGGAAAGCTATTATGTGCTCTCTGAAATTACGCCACGAATAGACGGGGAAACGGAAGAAAATCACCATAAGGACTGCAGAGGTTTGATAGACTTAGGCCTGCTTTCAAATATGGGCCACAATTTTTATTTTGTGCTTACCTAATGGGCAAATATGGCGTTTATTGGGATGGGAGAAGAAACAATGCAATGTTCTTTAACATGAAGTGAATATTACTGAATATTACTCGTATTTGCTTTTAATTTTTTCTTTCTTTACAGCCATCTCATTCACGTGTTATTATACTATACTATACTTATTTCTTTTTCTACCTCTTCCTGTCTTATTTATATATCTCTTCTTTATTTCTCTCTGCTTTACACCTTAAGGTATCCGTCATGCTCTCCATCTCTTTCTATATTATCTTCTTTTTCGCTCTGTTTCAAATAAATTTTCCTCGCAAACTGTCTGCACGGCTCTCTTGGAGATAACGCATCGGCACTGGCACAGTCCTCAGTTGTTTGGGAGAAAATAAAATTTACCAAATTAAAAACGTGCTTAAGTTATTAAGATGTCTGCTGGAATCTGCAGGACTGGAAAATGAAGGGGCCAAGGACCAAATGATATACATGAAGCTACATCTTTTAGGATTTGGGCTTAATGTGTACATAAATGTGCAACTTTCACTGCTTGTCTGCTCTAGCCCATTTTTATTTATAAAAACAAGCTTATGTTTTCCTAAACATGGGCAGGAACTAGAATATAGTGGAGGATCTTCGATTTCATAACCTTCATGTCACGGCAGTGTTTTTGATGCCTAATGGCAGTTAAAAAGACGAGGTGGGAAGATTGTTGTCGGGTTAAAGTGGTTTCGACGTGGCGGCCTGTTAGACAGCTCTTCCGAGAAAAAGTCTGTAGTTGAAGATTTCTTCAACAACTATCAACTGTTAGCATTAGCCGAACGCAGTGCATAGATATCCTAAAATAAAACATAACATTATAAATTCGGCCACAGTACCATAATTAGTTACTTCTAGGAGTTAAGGCACCCATAAGCCGAGTCTACATTAATTCTCACACTAATTTATCATGTTAAGGTTCAGGTAGAAGAGAGAGTAAATACATATAGGCCTACTAGGGACCGCAAAAGTACCCGGTCCTCAAAATTTCGATCTTATTTATGTAGCTATGTTTACAAAACCTTCTCTGTGCTCAGAATGTCAGAATTGATAACGGACAATATTATTATCCGTACTATATTGATCACTTATATCACTGGAGTTCTCGCGAAAAATGGGGACGTGTTTTGCCTAACCTTGTCCCAAAATGTTGATTCTGTGACCCAGATTCTCTTTGGCTCAAGTCTATGTAAGATTACGTCATTCTCTCGTTTCCTGTTGATCCCACCTACACAGGACAACACAAACACAGAATAAACACAGGCATCCACGCCTTGAGTGGTATTCGAACCCACGATCCCAGCTTTCGAGCAAGCGCAGACATTTCATGCCTTAGGCCACGCGGCCACTGTGATCCTAATTAATTCATTCGGTTGAGTCGATATTTCCAGAAGGGAAGGACTTTTGTAGTCTGAACATTAGCTCCTCCGTGTATTTGATTTTCACAATGATATTACATTTTTTTATTTCACCCTTTTGCGAGTGTGACCTCTACCGGCGATTCCCATATTCTGTAATTACGAAGATGAAAATCTGCCTATATAGCGAAGAACTACAGCGGACGTACGAAAATTTTAAATGAATGACTAATACTGTACTGGAATTATGTCAAATATTATATAATAGCTAGTATGACGTTGGAACATGCACGAAGTGTAGGAAACACATCCACGTAAACTTTCCTGAGATGTATCTCGCTTGAACAGACCAGACAGTAACGACTATGTCACGGCGTTTTGTTATGATGTTGGTAGAGGAAATGTTTCCACAGAGGATCAGAACGCAAGAGCGATACAGGTAGACTTTACACCTACTCGGTATAATACAGCAGTTGAAAATGTTCACTAATTTCAAGCGATACCGGACGATACGAAAGATACATCAAGACTCCGTTCCAGTGAACCGTAGTAGGCTGTGGTGTCCCTTAGTTTTGGCCTGTAACCCTCTACTTTTCTCTCCATAACGCATAAGCTGAAAACAGCTCTGACGGAGTTCAGTATGCACATTGCAGACGGGCATGGCGTAACGCCTCAACGGAAGCTACTCCATCCACAGCGGCGGTAAGTGAGGCATGGATATGTCTGCCCCTAAGCTCTACTAAAGCTAAAAATACTCCGTGGCTTTTAGTCAGCAAGCGAACTCTACCGACCTAGCGATCGCCTCTTGTCGGCGAAGTTAATGGCAACTTTTCTGGACAGAGGGTGTCGCGTGGTCAGCGCAACGCATTTCCACTGCCGTTAATCACAGGTTTATAGACCGGAGCCGCTACTTTTCCATTTAAGTAGCGCCTCAATTATCCTGAGTGGACCCCGTTCCAAACCCAATACTTCTCAGAAAATCTGGTAGCGCCGAGAATCGAACCCGGACTTCAGGATCTGTAGCCAGGAACTCTCATCAATAGATCACAGAGGCGGCCCCCTAAGCTCTACTATTTGCGAAAAGAGTTCAGTCTCACAACCCTATGGGCCTCAATGGCCTGTTATAGGAATAGTTTTATTTTTATATTCTTAAAAATTTCAGGCCTTGTACTGAGAACAACAGACCACTTTCAAATTTGGCCAGACTCCATGTATGTTTCAAACATATCCATAGAGGCTCGCACTGTGTTCTGACCGTAGCAGATATACAAGTAGTTCAAATCAGTAGTCAGAATACGAGGTCCACTGCGCGGACGTCACAGTTTGTTTGAGGTCGCAAAACTGGGATTTCTTTTAAGCGTGCCTCGCGAGCCCATGGAACACCATGAACTTTGTATTGTAATTGTTTTGTTATTGTTATTAATGTACCCCATGCACAGTGCGGAGTGTCACACAATTAACACTGCGTCAAGGACACTGCAAGCAGGCGAGTCTGCTCCTGTCCTTCCTAATATTTCCGAAGCTTCTTCCTACACTTCAACAACAAAGTAATCTAATTCTATTCCAGTGACAGAGATTCGTCTCTGAACAGTCAAGAAATCCCCTCCATAAAACATCGCTATGTGCAGTTTTCTGGTAGGTCTCTGGATCAAATTTCGGCCTGGAGACCGAATTTGCTGGCTAATGAGTGATTCATACCGCAGGTATTAGTGTTAACTTAGAAGGAATTAAGAGATTTCAGTTCAGCTCCTCGTGTGAAGTAATCTCGAACCAAACGACCTTTCAGTGCTGAATAGAAAAGGCGCGGTTAAGGAGAGTAGGCTTAATTTTTATGTAAAGAGGCCTTCCGTATCGGGACTCTGTTATACCTAATGGTAGGATGATAGATGCATGATGAATAATATGAAAGGATTTGAAAGGAAGTTGTGGCCAAATCGAGGTACTATCCCGGTATATACTTGGGCCGACTTCGAAAAGCCATAAACATCAGTCAAGATAGCCGGTGTTCCGGTCGAGATTCGAACCAAACACCTTCCGAATGCAAGTCAACAGCGTTACCTCCGGACCAACCTGCTCCGCAGACTTCACAAGATAATCTAGAAGTTTTCAGTTAAGAAAATTCAGGATTTCTGTAACCAAAAGCCCACTGGAAACGTAAAGAAAGTTGAACTTCCTCAATCCAAACGTTCTGACTAGGTCACATTCGATGCGGCCGTCTAGTGCGTGTCGTGCATGAACAGAACAAGGCAGCAGAAAGGTTGAGTGTAGTGGTTGCGTCCCTACCTGGGTTCCTTCTCGGAGGCAGGTCCGTCGTAGTGGGTCCGGGTGTTGTCGAGGGCGGTGCGGAGGCTGGCACAGAGAAAAGAGACAGAACAAAAAGATAGGCAAAGTGTATAGCAGTAAGTGCTAGTCTAGTGCAGCCAAAAAGAAAATAGAAAGCACTCAAATCGACCATTTCGACAGTTCGATTAAAGGGCTTCTACTATATAGATGACGGACATCTCGGTAAGGCCTGGACGTTAGAGACAACACAGTGATAAATGAATTTACTTTAGCCTTTTCAGACACCACCAAGGATCGGTCACATCATAACACCCGGAGTCTGAGTCTCGTATGTGTTTTAGTAACATTGTTGTGGTCATTCCTGCCACACCGATATGTCAGGAGCTGGAGATACGTAAGAAATACTGTGTTCAATTCTAGAAAGCGGGTAATTTAAATTAAACTTTAGGCATATTATTAAGGTGACATATTTTTCATGTAGGTTGCCGTTTTCTGGATTATGACGTCAAGTAGTCCGATATGTGGTCATCTATATTCCATAGGAACACGTCATTTCTCCATGAAGCTGAAGGAAGTAAGTTTCTCCGAAACGCTATTACCACTTACAGACTAGAAGCTGCCGCAACTCAGACAGGTGCAATGCAGACTGTCACTGCTGTGGAGGCACGAGGCACGAGGCTACTGAAAGCTGTTCCACGAATTTAGTCATTCACATTAACGGGAAATGATAACCTCTATTTAGTTAACGTACTTTACGGCAGACAGTATCCCTTGAAAAGCTGTTAGTTACTTATCTGTTCAAGTAACCATCGCCATTATGGGACCCAGAAGTTCGTCAGAGTATTTAGGACAGTCCGCTATTTCAATATGCGTATATTCAAAGTCAGCTGAACGTGACCCACTGCCTCACATCTGGGCCCCCAAACAGTTCATTTGGTTGAGGTTCATGGACCAAACAGTTTAATAGAGTTTATTATATTTTCACGATTGAATGTTCTTGGAGTGCAGTGGGACGCTGTTCCTTGGTACTGTGACCAAAATGGCACGCTGTACCAGCCCTGGATGAGAAAAATGGAACATTCGTGTAGTCAGAATTGGCAGGATAAACCTAAATACAGGGAGGAAACCTGCCCGAATGCCAAATTTCCACCACAAACCCCACATGAATTAACTGGAGGTTGAACTCGGACAGTCGTGCTGAGAGAACGGCGACTAACCGTCTGAGAATCGGGAAGTTCTATTTCTCTCATGATTTCTACATGAATATAACAATCTATGAATTAGAATGTGAACGTAATGCAAAAACATATGTACATTATTTCTTACGCATAGTGCTCGTAAAATTTGGATTAACACTTCGCCAGAGAAACCTGTCCGATTTACTGTGTTCATTAGATTGCTTATCACGTACAAGACAGTATGTGGTCTTCCGTAACTAAGTGAGGGAATTTGATTTTTATTCTTATACTGTCAGTTTTGTTGCTTCACTATAGCGAAAGGTAGTAGAATTCTGAAATAGATCGCAGTCTCACGTATTTTATTTTAGGACTGCGGGGACTCGATTTGAATCGGATATATTATTTGCTAAGATTACATTTTCGAGTAATTACGTATTGCGAATTATTTGACAACTTGAGAGAAATAATTACCCCTGAGCATTGTTATATAAATTGAGTTGAATGAAAGAGATAACTCCAGGACTGAAAAAAACATTTAAGTTTATGTCGTTACAATGTTATTCTGGCATTATTAAAAATTATGTTGAGTACACTCGCATGAACTTCATTAGTCTAACATCCGGTCCTTACCGATTAGAACAAAATGCATTTTGTAATGGATATAAAATAAACTACATTATTAAAAATGTGTGTGAAGAAAATATATATTGTATTTGATATTAAAGTTTTCATATCGTCACACAAGGTCTGAGTATTGTACAATAAAATGAGTGAGATTAAGTGAAAACAATGTCAATCAGTTTATTATATTAAACACACTATATGTTTCGGTTTCCTTGGACCATCATCAGGTGTTTGAATAAAAACAATAAATATATTAATTTTATGCTGAATTATACGATGAAAATGGATCTATTTTTCAACGTCATAAATTAAAAGTTGTGTAGGAGTCCAAGGGCGAATAAAGGAAATTACATGTGCAAGATTACAGAATTATTAAAACTTTATAAAATATATAATAATAAAATGTATATATGTAAAATAATAGCCTAAGTGGTGGGCGTAGTGTGCTATGTCGTGTTCGTTTTGTTCAGGGGGAAATTTCAGTATAAATTGTGTGTGTAATTGTTATAAATGTTATAGTGTCAATATAATTGTGTATCTTCATGTTATTCTGATTTCTTGCCTGGGTTCTGTCTGTAATGGGAAAGCATAGTTATAAGTATTTTACATATACTAAGGCATAATTGTAATTTATATACTTAAAAGTTTTAGGGTATAACGAAGAATACCGGGTGTATTGTTTTGAGTGATTGCGCAATCGGAGAATATCGCTGTCAAATAATATTAGCTCGTGTTGCACCACAAAGGGACTACACGCAGTTCACAAATTAACACACACAAATAATCATTATCAATAGCCATAACACACGCGGCTACATTCAATATATAACAAAAATCATCAATTTACATTCAATTATATGAAACCTATCCAACCAATTATCAGAAAAAATTTGCAACACGAGCGATACGTGTATTTTCAGACTGTGCAACCACTAAACACAATACATCCAATATTCTCCGTTACACCATAAAACATTGAGTACAGAAATTACGATTACTCCTTAGTATATGTAACAAATTAGAAGTAACTCATAACCATGCTTTCCCATTACAGACAGAACATAGGCAAGAATTCCGAAGTACATGAAGATACACAATTACGACATTATACATTTTATAACAACTAAAAACACAATTTAAACTGAAATTTACAACATAGTCCCTCGCCCTAAAATACGTACAAAACATATTACTCTACGACCACAATTTATGCTACTATTTTATATATATATTTTATTATTATATACATATTTTATAAACTTTTAATAATTCTCTAACCTTGCAAATATAATTTCTTTTATTCACCCCTAAAGTTCTACACAACTTTAAATTTATGACATTGAAAAATAGTTCCATTTTCATCGTATAATTTTGCATAAACTTAATATATACGTATTTATTTTTTTTTATTCATACACACCTGATGATGGCCCAAAGAGACCGAAACATGTGTGATTAATATAATGCAGTGACTGATGTATTATTTTCACTTGATCTCAATCGTTTTATTATTAATATAATTAAAAGCAGTTGTGCGACCGTATACAACAGGGTGCATAAAATAATATAAAAGTATATTATTGTAATCAGATTCAAACGCTAGAATATATACTTTTATTCCGTACCATGAGCTTTTAGTTGAGATGAAACACCATTTGTCATTATTAAGAACGATGGTGATAATAACCGACGGCCTTTTTCCCAGACAAGAATAGTTTCCTAATGGCTGATTTTAACTGCCAATTCATCATACCATCAGTACTAGACAATCACATTACTAACTTGAGAATAAAGAGACCCAAAGATATTGAACCCGGAACCCTACATGTGAAAGCGGTTATTTCTTAGTTTAGGGTCTAATTACACCCTTCCGAAGACACTTTTATAAAGCTACCCTATTAGCAAAACAACATTTACATCTTGGGCAGACTACAGACACGTGTTTTCCTAATGGGCCTCGACCCTTTAGCGGTCACCCAAGCTACAGGTAACGGAACAAGGCAGTTGTGCGAAAAGCATGTCAACTTCTTAATGGATGGGTCTCCCTAATAAATCAGTCACTCTATTGAAATGGCTAAAGTTGGACATAGCGTCCATTAAATACCATTAAAAGGTTTGGACGGTTACACTATGACATGAATGTTAACATCTCCGAAAGAGAACTTCAAATTTCAGCTGCTATCTCGCCCGCTGCATCTCTGCTGAAAGGCCATACGTCACCATTCCTGATCCTAACATGAATATAACGGCTGTCTACAGTGCCGGGCCGGGAAGGTGGTCCCTGCAGCGGACGCAGGTTTCGTGCAGCTGCACACACGTGCAGTGGATCCAGTCGTTGCTGCTGCAAGCCAGGAATATGGGAAGCTGAATACGTTTACTTCATCCTCTGTGGTCTAGTGGTCAGAGTTCCTGGCTACATATCCAGAGCTCCGGGTTCGATTCCCTGCGCTACCAGATTTTCTGAGAAGTAGTGGGTCTGGAACGGGCTCCTCTCAGCCTCGTGAGGATAATTGAGGAGCTACTGGCTCCGGTCTAGAAGATCGAAATTATCGTCTGTGGGGATTCGTTGCGCTGACCACGCGACACCCTCTATCCGCTAAAGTTGGCACTAACTTCGCCGACAAGCGGCGGTCGCTCGGTCGGTATAGTTCGCTTGCGGACTACGGAGTTTGTTTTTGTTTGATGATGTGGTTATTAATAGTTCTATCATTTGGGGTATGTCTATTAGTCCGTTGGAAACGAGCTCACATCTCGGAAGAACGTGTCGTCTCCATCTTCAGGACAGATGAATAAGCCAAAGGAGGAAACAAGCGTGACTGCCATGAGCTATGACTCCGGTCCCTTGATTTGGCTTATTCTTCGACGGAGGAGAAATGTTTCTCCGGAACGTTAGTTGACTTCACACGGACTGCAAAGCGTTAATCCCAGCAGACAGAACTCTTCGTGTGTTTTCGTTCTTGAAAAGGACAAGGATCCTAACTGTGCTATCAAAATATAACGACTTTCACGTTCTTCCTAGGCATACAATACATCGTTTCCAATTACGCGTCCAAAATCTACAATTGATTCTGTGAAACCAATGCTACTGAAAGAGCGTCATTAAATGAACTAAGGAGCAAGTGGAGCAATTACGGCGGTCCAAACCATTACGTGAGCTGAGACAACAAACCCATGCTTCTGTGCAGGAGAGAAAGAGAACGACCGCTTCAATGACGCAACAGTGGGAACGCCCTTCGGTGGCTTCTACTCTCCCGTAAGCCCGTC